TATGGAGTATTTTAACGAAGAAGACGACACACTTATGGAGGTCGACAGTGATGATGAATAGTTGTTCTGCTGCAAGGCTCTGTTAGAATTTTATGTTTTAATATTCTGTTGTAAGGCACAATTTGTATTTGAGACCCCAATTAGTATTTGAGACCATGTTCTACTATTTTAGATAGCCTCAGTTTGTATTTGAGATCATGTTCAGCTATGGATAGCCTCAATTTGTATTTGAGATCATGTTCAGCTATGGAATTTATGTATAATTTCTTTTTAGTTTTGGTTCAAAGCCGAAGTAACCAATGGTTACTCAGATTTTTTTTTTCAAGTTTTGGTTCACTGTTGGATGCAAAAAATTCACAGCTAGGTAGTTCTTGACATGCACTTTTTCATTACAGTATTCATGAAAATGACTCAATCAGTCAAGAAGATAGGCTCATTTCAGAAGTCATTACTAGCACTTTTTTCATTCCAGAAATCATGCCAAAAACATCATTTTTTTCATTCCAGAAGTCATTACAAAAGGCTCATTTCACTGGGCCATTGCCAATCACAGGAGTACATGAAATGCACTTGCATTGTCAATCAGCAGAGGTTCATTTCAGAAGCCATTACAACTCAAAATAACAATGCATTCACAATATATATATATATATATATATATATACAGGCTCATTTGTCAATGTACAGGTTCATTCTACAGCTTGCCCTATGTTGATAATCTTTTGACATCTCCTTGTCGACACATACGCTCGGCTGTTCTCATCTTCAGTAATCACATCATCTGGTCCATTCTGCATCAGTCCTCAATCATCTTTGTCAGCAAACAAATAGAGCTTGCAACTTCCCGGCACCTGCACAGGGCGATTGGGGAGAGGCTAGGCGCTGCAGGTGGCGGGTGTTGCGGATGGCGGCGGATGTGGACGCGAGAGCGACTGATGCGGCCGGCGCGGCGGCCGAGGGGAGCGTGGCGGGGGCCGTCCGACGGGCAGGGAGGGAGGCGGCGAACCCCTATGGCGGAGTGGGTGTGGCGCGCGTGGAGCCGGCGAACCCCTGTGGCGGAGTGGGCATGGCGCACGTGGAGGCGGCGGCGGACGGGAGCAGACGGCGGAGTCGGGGGAGGAGGATTGAAGGAAGCTTCGTGTGTTTTCTCTCTTTGTCCTTTTTTTTGGGAAAACAATCTCCATAGTGGTCAATGACTGATGGGGCCTCACTATCTAAAATTGGACCAAATCTCGCATATATTGCTAGTTGAGCCTAAAAATATTTTAAAAAATATATTACACCAATTCATGCTAAAGTGGACACAAAATTATGAATCAATAAAATGAATGCATCAACGACTCAATGTATTTGAACTTGGATTTTCAATACTGTGATGACGAACGTGGCAACATGAAAATTGTATATGGATGCAACACTAGAACATTTAGCATGGATTTTGTTGTCGTTGTCTCATGCCAACGTGCTTGGGCACTAAAACATTGCTTGAGTCGGTTGTTAACACATCCTACAAACATAAAGGGTTAGGTTCATGATGACGGATGACCATCTTACTTAGAATGGAGTCATTCGTGAAACCAAACACTCTATATATATGTGTGGATCATATGTTGCTAGTTGTTTGGCCTGATTTACTAATTCAAAAAAAATGGAGGAATGCTCTCATAATGCACCACCTCACTTAGAATAGAGTCATTGCTCAAACCAAACACTTTACATACATGTGTGCAATATATATATATTGCTAATTATTTGGCCTGGTTTAGTAATTTCAAAAAATAGTCAGAATATACAACCAATAATGATGCAAACTAGAACACGCTACCAACATAAAGAGATCATCATGACATGATGAACCATGTCTATGCATCATACATGCATGCTACTTGTGTGGCCCAATTTTCTTACTCCAAAAAAACTCCGGAAATGAGTGGAATACGACTATATATAATAGCTACAGAATGAGAACACAATGTACTACCAACATAAAGGATCATAACATGCATGAATTATGTGGGTGCATCATATATGCCACTTGTTTGGCCCGATTTACTAAGAATTGGTGGAATACGACCAAATTTACTATCAACATAAAGGGATCGTGACATGATAAACTATGTGTATGCACTTACATGATGCTTGTTTGGCCCAAATTCCAAATTCCGACAAAATAATTAGTAGAATATGACTAATAGCGATGGAATGGGATAATTTTTTTTTGAGAAAAGAATGGGATAAATTCAAGGGGAACAAATTTGCATCATGCACTGTTTTACAGTACTTACTAGCTAGAAGCACTAATTTTGAAATTATGTGTTGAATATGTTCCAAATTCAGTCCACATCATTTTTGGCCGACGTCTGACGAAGCGAAGCGGAGGCCCGTCGCCGGAGGCTTGGGCCAGAGCGAAGCGGAGGCAGAGGTCCGGGGGGTGCGGGGGGGCTGGCCCCCCGCGGTACGGTACATATACCCTGTGTTAGGGTTTCCACTTTTATTAAAGCCGCCATACGGCGTTGTAACCCGACTCTTGGAAATAGTGAGAAGTGTTTGCTGGCTGGGGCCCGTGGTTTTTACCTTCCGCATTGGGAGGGTTTTCCACGTTAAATCTTGTGTCTCGCTGTGGTTTGATTTTGCGTTCTTCCTCGTTTGATCATCGTCATTCACAACATTATGAACCCTTATAGTTTTATCAATTATTATTTTACATAATAGCAAATCTCAAATATAGCCTTCCTATGAAACATATACTTATCTAGAAGGTTCCAAATATAAAAGGCAATGTTCAGCTTCAGGAAAAAAGAAAGTTCCCGCGCGCCCAAGCGGCTCAGCGCTTTTTCAAGTGAAATGTGCGCCAGCCCCAAATGTTTCGTGGTTCGAATTGACCTTACTACCCTAAGTTGCATACAGATTAAAAATATATAGGCAATGCTATTACAGATTTTATCAGGGGTACCTTGGTCTTCCCAATTCCACTCCCCACCCACATATATGTGTCGACACTCTCTGGCTCCAAAACCTAATTCCCAGCTGCCACCCACCTCCAGCCGCCACCCACCCTCCAGGAGCAGGAGGCCGCCACCCACCTCAGTTCGGCCTCCAACCACCTCTAGGAGCAAGAGCAGGAGGCCGCCACACACCTCCAGGAGCAGGGTGCCTGGGTTTGGCCTCCAAGTCACGTCTTGTCGGCCACCTGCTGGAGCAGCCGTTCCTGGATGGCCGCGGGTGCCCCGGGAGATCCACCGCCATCATCATCTTCAAGCCCCGCCGGCCGCCGTCGTCGACTTCAAGCTCAACCCGCCGCCGTCGCTGTTGGAAGGACTGCTCCACCGCCACGCCCATCGTTGCTGCTGGGAGGATCAGAACGCTGCCACCAGCATCCCAGGCCACAAAAAGCTGTTATGGCGCCGAAGGGTGTGCCAAATAAACCGAAAGGAGGCCGGATAGCAGGTATAGTCCTAACATCACCTCTTTAGTTGCTGGTTTGAGGAACTAATGGTACTTTGGAAGCCTTGTCTTGCCCAGGCTAGAAATTTTTTTGACATTTTACATCTGGATGTGTTTCACTATTGTTAATTTTAGATATCATGTCTGTAGCATGTGTACTTGTTTGGCAAATGCTTTCCTGAATAAAATCCTTGTTGAAAGATCTGAGTGCACTCCAGATTGATATATCAATTCTTCTCTTCTTTTGTATGTCAGCATGTATCATAGATATCCCAAATATTTAGGGGGCTTCAGTTCTAGTTTGTTTTACAGAAATGTTAATGTGAATCCCAGCTGTAGAGTATTCAGCATAGTTTGGGATGCTTTGATTCAGTCATTCTGGTGTTCCAAAATTATTTCTTGTTACACAAACTTTCACTGAAGTACTAATGCTTTGATTCAGTCATTTTGGTTGTGAACTATATAATATTATTGATATGTTGGTCTTGTTTTTTTCATCTTGTTACCAGGGCTGCTTCCAATTGAAATGGAGCGCCTGAGAGAATGCATGAAGAACAGTGCAAGGCTGAAGGAACTTGGACTTGCTGATCCCTATGCCAAAATGTTAGCCGAGTACGGCCTGCAGGATAATACTGATGAAGGAGATTTGATTGACGATGAGAATTCTAAGGTCCTAATTCCTCCATGTTGTCAAGTCTTAACTTGTTCTTCTTCCCTTCCTAATTCAATCTAACTCTAATGCTATGTGGACTAATACATGCTTTCATTTCTAACAGTGCTCTAAGGAGAAGACTCACAAGAAAACTAGCAACCAACCTTCAAGAATCCACCCTGGTGGAGTCAAGTTTCAGTCTCACAAGAGAGTTTTTGCAGACCAAACATCTCCTAGAGTTACAAGGACAAAGAAAAACAATGCCCAGCAAGATGCAAGGCTAACACCAAGTGAAATTTCTGTGCCACCTCCATCGCAAGCTAATGAGAGCCACGCTGGAGAACTTGTTGGCAACTTAGATGACCAAGCACAGGATGCTGTTGAAGGCCAGTTCTACTGCCACATTACTTAGTCTCACTCCATTACCATGAATCGGCTATGAAAAATGTTTAACTTGATCTATGAAGTTTGTCTATGTGTTGTACCTGTTTATCCAAGTTTAATGCTTGTTTAGCTTGTGAAAATGTTAACTAGAGTTTTAGGTATAAAAGATTCATGAAACCAATTTTCACTATTTTTTGAAATCTGTTGTTTGACACTAAAAAGTGGGCTGAACTTGTTTAAGTGGGTCTAAACTTGTTTTGTTTCTCCTTTTTGTATGATGCTTTATATATCCAAATCTGATTCCCCTCAAAAAAAATATATATGTATCCAAATCTGATGTAATTTATGCAATGTGCTATTTATAGCATGTATGTACTTCTTAATTTGTCTAGGCATCAGATTTGTATAGCAGATGACCTTTTCCTTTGTGTGCCTTGTTTACTAGGTAACATGATGAACTAACCTTTAATTATTGCCAATAATTTTAGGTAATAACTCTGCTCTACTTGACAACACACACATGACCACTGGGGCTGATGCAATTGACTGGCCTAATCAGCATAGCCGAATGGATGATGGAGGTGATGGTTTCTTACTGTCATTCTATAAGTTAGGTTTGTATGATGAATGCATTCTTACTGGCTGCCCTTTTTAGATGGCTTTGCCCAGCATGATAACAACACCATCATGGCTGGTATAGCTGATGGCATTACCCAACATGGTGACGACAACCAAATTGCCAACGAAGGTGATAGTTTGTTCCTCTATTTTTCATATTCCATATTGCCTCAATGGATCAATGTTTGCTTCACCTACTTAATTTTAATTTCAATGTACATTTACAACTAGGGGGAGAGGAGAGAAGGGATCGGGGACATAATATGGGACTTGGTCTCCAAAGGTTAAACCGAGCGCGCCGTGGCAAGCTGCAAGTTGTCATAACTGAAGGGCATATAAGGCCGGTGGTTCCTCTTGTTGCTACAAAGTTTGCAAGTGAATGCAACATCATAGTTAGGAACCATGTGCCTATACTCCCGCATTGGAAGCTGTACAAGAAAAAACCTGCATCAAGTTCAAAGGAGAAAGAACCAAAAGAGAAAGAACCAAACGAGAAAGAACCAAAAGAGAAAGAACCTGCATCTACGTATGTTGATTTATTCTTAGGAAAACTAAAGGTACATACATTCTTTGGCCCCTTCCACATTTAGTCTCAATATAAGAACCATTGTTTGTTGTTTTATGCCATAAGTTACTGAATTGATATTCTTTTCTGCACATGTTCTTCCATTCAATTAGGCCAAGTTTGACATAAACACAGAGGATAACACAGTTAAAAAGGGTTGTATTGAGATGATGCAATATGCGGTCCGCCAACAAAGATACAGGCTGAAGGTAGAATATTTTGATCCTTTTCCACTACATTTGGTTACAAAAACTTCTCCTGTCAAATGCATGACTGATGAACAGTGACTTAAACTTTTAGAATCATGGAAGAGTCCCAAAAAGATGGTATGTTTTCTCTGAAAAACCAAAATGATGCCTTGTACATGCTAATCTATCACCAACCTTACATGCATTTTTTGTCTTTGATGTAGGAGATGTGTCAAAAGAACAAAGACAACCGAGGGAAAGTTAAGTACCATCACACAACCGGATCCCGTGCCTACATGGTTCATGTTGAGAATTTGGTAAGTGAGCCATGTTAAACACCTTATAAATAAATGTATGCAACTATTACTTAAGCATGCTGGGGGATAAAGCTCTCTATATGAAGCTCATCAATAATTTTCATATTGCTGAAATGTTTTCTCACTTTACATAAGGGAATTTGAGATGTATTGATTTATGTAAGAACACAACTACTTGTCATGCTTTCTTTGCTCTAATGTAAGGATAAGTTTACGTAATATTGTGTTTTTAACATGTTGTGCTCTTGTGATGACAATATTAAGCATATTTTATCTTCCCAAGCCTTTAGAGCCACACCCAGATAATTGTAGCCTTCTTGTTTTTTTTCATGTATCGGTTCCAAACATATTTGTAGATGTCCTCTTCATGAGGCTTTGTATGATATAAACCAGGAGTGGTTCTCCTTGTTGCAAAGACTTTTTCGCTAATCAATAAAGGTTCCTTTGTCATAAAAAAAATATTAAGCTTCTGCTTTGCTATTAACCACCATATTAAGCTATTTGTAACATGTCTTTGCATATGCTATTGTAACAAGCTACTGCTGCTATTTTTTAGATTTGTCTTTGTATAATTTGGTACAAGCTACTGGTGCTATTGTAATAAGCTACTGCTGTTATTGTAACCGCAACTGTCTTTTTTTTAGTTGGACATGTTCTTCTAGATTTTTAGTTGAACAGTAACTATTCAGGTTAATCCTATTTATAGTTGAACATGTTCTTCTAGATTTTTAGTTGAATAGTAGCTTTCCAAAATTTTGTAACATCTTAATTCATGCCGGACCTAATGCATATATGTTGTTCTCAGGATGACAAATATAATGATGAAGAACCTAATGCATTTGATTTGTTCAAGGAGTGCCACTACAGCAAAAAAAATGCTACACCCCTATTGTACAAGAGGCTATTGTAAGATAATTTTCAGACTTTGATCTTTGTATTTTTAATTCTCTCAACATCAACCATCTTTGCTACTTGTTTGCTAGACTCAGATGGAAAATAAGCTATCTACAACAACAGAAGGTGAAGAACTTAAGTCTGCGGCTCAAGTTGTTGCTGATGTGCTTGCTGAGAACACCAAGAAGAATCAGTTCTTGCAGAATGTGAGGTACCAGAATGCCCGGCGTATTTCCAATGAGCAGAGCGCTGAACTGGAAGCGGAGAAAAAGACCAATGCTAAGCTTCGTGTACAAGTGGTTGATTTGTCAAATAAAGTGCAAGAATCTGAGCAGGCAAGGATTATTGACCGAGAGGAGATGAAGAGGAGTCAATCTGAGATGGAAGCAAAACTTAACCTTTTACTTAGTCAAATTTGACCAAGTTAAGACATGCATGGTGCATATCTTTTGCCACTAACTTGATGCATTTTGTTGTTGCTAACTTGTGTCAAGTCAATTTCGACCAAGTTAAGCGATACATGGTGGTATATATTTTGTTGCTGCTGCTCGCATTTTGTTGTTGCTGCTACATGCATCAAGCTGCTGGGCTTCTATGCATTCTGTGTTGTTGGCTTGTGCCATGGTAAACTATATGGTTGTATGCACTTCTGTATGTTAACTATTGTTGGATGAATACTTGTAATCTGATGTTGGTTGCAAATTTATGTGATATATTATTGGATGGAAATATGAGTTATTTTATTTAATGTGTGGGCTATGTATTATTTTATTTAATGTGTGGGCTGTGTATATTGTTGCAACAGTAATTATTTGAGCTGTGTGTGGGCTGTGTATATGGGCTGAATGTTCAAAAATAGGCTATGTATATGGGATATATGTGCTGTAGTAGTGGACTGAAAAGTGGGCTAAAAATTAGTGATGAATTTGGGTTGCAATATGCTGAAATGGGCCTGTAAAAATGGCTAAAAAATTGATGCGAAAATGGCTGAAATTGGGCCAAACTTGGCCCATCTTTGATTCTGGCCTGTTAACAAATGAGCTGGTGTATCTTTGATGTGGCAATTGATTCGTGACGGTTATTTTTCGTCACAGGAGATGGGTTCGAGCTGGACAAACTAGGCCTTGGGCTCTATCGTGACGGTTTAAAACCGTCACCGTTTATGTTGATCCGTGATGGTTTTCGACAAACCGTCACGCATGTCAATCCATGATGCTCAATCCGTGATGATTTCTGAAACCATCACAGATGTTGTTTACTGATGGTTTTTCAGTGATCCGTGACGAAAATTTTCCATCATGGATTAACAGGATTCTTATAGTGATTACACACATCCACAGACAAATATGATGCTCATGCAGTGTTTTAGCAAAAATTGTACAATGTAACACCGAGGGTGTTACAAATCTACCCTCCTAAAACAAAATCTCGACCCGAGATTTCATGTGCCTAGTGTGAGAAAGTGGTAGGAAATACATTTTGGCGCAGCAACTAACTATCAGAACCAGAGAGAAGGTGGGGGTAATTCTTTAATAGGTAACTCTCCTGTTCCCATGTGGCCTCATCCTCTAAATGGTATTGCCATTGCACTTTGTAGAACTTTACCACATTGTTCCTGGTTACTCTTTCTTTCTTGTCTAGGATTTTGACAGGATGTTCAACATAAGTCAAATCTGGCTGGAGGGGAAGCCCTTCAATTTCCACCGCTTCATCAGGCACCCGCAGACATTTCTTCAACTGAGAGACATGAAACACATCATGTACCGCAAACAAGATATCGGGAAGCTACAGACAATAAGCAATGGGGCCACACTGCTCCAACACCTGATAAGGACCCACATATCGAGGGGCTAGCTTGCCATGGATACCAAACCGATGCATCCCTCTCATAGGAGACACCTTGAGATACACATAATCTCCAGCTGCAAACTCTAAGGGCCTTCTTCGCTTATCGGCATAAGCCTTCTATTGGCTTTGAGCTGCTTTCAAGTGACTCCGAATAATGCTCACTTGATCTCGAGCTTCTTTGATGAATTTAGGCCCAAAGTACCCACGGTCTCCCACTTCAACCCAGTTGAGTGGTGTCCTACACTTCCTCCCATATAGAGCTTCAAATGGTGCCATGCGGATGCTTTCTTGGTAGCTATTATTGTAAGAGAATTTAGCTAACTTCAAGCACTCATCCCACTTTTCAAGAAAAGAAATGGCACAAGCTCTCAACATGTCCTCGAGCACCTGATTCACCCTTTCTGTTTGGCCGTCAGTCTGGGGGTGGTAGGCTAAGCTGTGGAGGAGACTGGTCCCAAGACACACCTAAAGTTGCTCCTAGAAGCGAGAGACAAAAACTGATCCCCTATTAGAGATGATAGTAAAGGGAACTCCGTGTAGGGTCACAATCCTATCATGGTATATCTCAGCATACTTCCTAGTTGAATATGAAATTTTCACCGGGATAAAATGGGCAGACTTCGTGAGACGGTCCACAATGACTCAGATAGAGTTATAGCCATTGGTTGTATGGGGTAGACCCACAATGAAATCCATGGAAATATCTTCCCACTTCCAAACAGAAATAGGCAAGGGCTGTAGATATCCTGGAGTACGCATATGATCTGCCTTAACTCTACCACAAGTGTCGCATTCCATGACGTGCCAGGTGATGTCCTGCTTCATATTAGACCACCAGTACAAGTGGCGCAGATCATGATACATCTTATTGCTGCTAGGATGGATAGACAGCTTTGAATGATGGGCTTCATTCAAAATGTTCCTTTTCAGCTCCTCATTGGATGGAACCACCAATCTATCCTTGTATCTCACTACTCCATGCTCATCAACACTAAAGTGAGGGCCACGCCCTTCGGCCATCAATTTCCTGATGTGGGGAATTTCTTCGGGGTCTTCCCTTTGCTCCCGAATAATCTGCTCTAGCAATTCTGAGGTCAAGGCAATGTGAGCCAACACTTCAGCATGGTTGAGAGACAAAGTTGTTTCCTCAACCTGATGTGACTTTTAGCTCAAAGCATCGGCCACTACATTGGCCTTTCCTAGATGATAATGGACTTCCAAGTTATAATCCTTTATCAATTCTAACCATCTCCTCTGCCTCATGTTCAGCTCAAACTAGGTGAAAATATACTTGAGACTCTTGTGATCAGTAAAAATATGTACTTTGTTACCCAACAGATAGTGCCTCCAAATCTTTAGAGAGTGGACTACAGCAGCCAGCTCTAAGTCATGAGTGGGGTAATTTACTTTGTGCTTCTTCAGTTGGCGCGAAGCATATGATATCACATGCCCATCTTGCATAAGCACACACCCCAACCCCGTCTTTGAGGCATCACAGTACACATCAAAGGGCCTATCAATATCTGGTTGGGCCAACACAGGAGCAGTGGTCAGAAAAGTCTTCAGAGCTTGGAAAGCTTCTTCACAAGCTGGGCTCCAATCAAACTTAGCTTCTTTTTAGAGCAGCTTGGTCATTGGCTGGGCTATCTTGGAGAAATCAGGAATGAAACGCCGATAGTACCCAGTGAGACCAAGGAACTGACGAATCTGGTGCTCAGACTTGGGAGACTTTCAATCCAACACATCTTGCACCTTGCTGGGATCTACAGATACGCCGTCAGGTGTCAACACATGCCCCAAAAACTGCACTCGATCTAACCAAAATTCGCACTTGCTGAATTTAGCATACAGCTTGTGCTCCCTTAGTTGAGCTAGTACTATCTGAAGGTGTTGGGCATGCTCTTCATCATTCTTGGAATAGATCAGGATGTCGTCAATGAAAACTACCACAAACTTATCCAGCTCTGGCATGAAAATAGAATTCATCAGGTACATGAAGAAGGCAGGAGCATTGGTAAGGCCAAAAAACATCACTAGGTACTCATACAACCCATACCTAGTAGAGAAAGTCGTCTTTAGTATATCATGTGGCCTAATCTTGATCTGATGATAGCCTGATCGGAGATCAATCTTCGAGAACACCTTGGCATCGGCCAGCTAGTCGAACAAAGTATCTATGCGGGGCAAAGGATACTTGTTCTTAACTGTTACCGCATTAAGGGGGTAGTAATCCACACACATCCGCAGAGTACCATCCTTCTTCTTCACAAAAATAGCCGGGCAACCCCATGGTGAAGAACTATGACAGATGAAACCTTTGTCCATCAACTCTTCCAGCTGCTTCTTTGTTTCTACTAGTTCCCTTGGAGCCATGCGGTACGGGCGTCTAGAGATAGAGGTAGTACCAGGCTGTAGCTCAATGGATAATTCTACTTCTCTATCTAGTGGCAACCTAGGAAGATCTTCAGGGAAAACATCTAGGAACTCACATACCACAGAAATGGAGGTAAGATTAGGAGAGGCTTCAGCATGGGCAGCAACAGGTAAGACTGGATCTGAGGGTACAATAAGAGACATCCTATCCTCAGAAGAAGGAAGCCGTAACTCCACACTCCTCCGCTTCATATCCAATACTACCCCATACACCTGCAACCAGTTCATTCCAAGAATAGCATCAATGCCTTGCCCAGGCATTACCATGAACTGTAGGCGGTAAGTGTGGGTGGCCAATACCAAGCTTACTGTATCCATTTAGGTATTGATGAACATTTGTGAACCCGCAGTACAGATCTTATAGGCATATGGTATAGCCATGAGTGGTAAGTTGTGCCGCTCTACAAACCCCATGCTCATAAAGGAATGTGATGCACCAGAATCGAACAACACATAAGCTGGATGGGAGTCGATGGTAAACATACCAGCCATCACCGGCTCTGGCTGCAAAATCTGCTCGGCATCTGTGAAATGCACCTGGCTGGATCTGTTGGGCACTTTCTTCTTGATTATGGTCCTCTTGACAAGCCTGGAGTTCGCTGATGGTTGAGCGGACTGAGCTGGCTGGTTCTAGGGACACTCCCGGGCATAGTGGCCATCTTTGCCACACTTGAAGCAAGAACTAGGCTTGTTCCCAAATCCCTAACGAGGTGGGACCTGCTGTCCCTGAGGTTGCTGGGGCTGCACCTACTGCGGGGGTTCACAATACTGTATGGAGGAAGTCTAAGAAGTCTGCTGGGGCTGCCAAAATGAAGGCCCGCCTGATGATTGATAGGGCCCCCGTCGGACAACCTCTATCTTCTAAGTATGAGGGTGGCTGGAAGACCCTGCGGCCACCCGCTTCCTCTTCCACTCTGCCTGAGACTCCCGCTGAAAACCCTCCATGGCAATGGCGGCGTTCATCAGTGCCCCAAAGGTCTGATAGTTCACCGTGTATAGCTTCTCCTGAAGGATGGAAGAGAGACTACGAAAGAAGTGGTCCTTCTTGTCATCAGTGTCCACATGAATGCCAGCATACTGAGCCAAGTGATTGAACTTATTCACATAGTCCATCACTATCATACTCCCCTGTTGCAGC